TGATTCAACACGTTATGCATTATGCTGTGCTCCCCCCAAGTGTAGCTACCATCTACCCATACAACATTCTTACTCTACCATTGATTATATCCCCTATGCTGTATCTTTCATCCCCATGACTTAAAAGTTAGGATTTTAAATAACAACTTCAAAATTATCCAGAACAAATTTCTATGTATGTCCCAGAGCTACTTGTCTGAATACCCAAGTATACTCCCATACTTGTACATCCTCAGGCCCCATGTTAAAAAGAGGATGTTAGTGTACAAATCATGGCCCTCACATATTTAATTCAAGATGCTTAATTATAAAAGATTTTTTTAAAAATCATTATTTTTATCCTTGGGCTAGGGTTTACATATACATCTAAGGAACAAACTTGTAAATCTCTATTAATTCTAACCACTTATCTGCAGGGTCTTTTTGGCTTTTCTATTTGAATTAGCATATACTCTTTGCATTAGAAGAGTCATTCTTCCTGTCCAATATCATTCATTTCTTTTTCTTTCCTTACTACATTAACTAGACCCACCAGTGCAATTTTGAATAGAAATGTTGACTTTAGGCATTTTTGTCTTATCGCTGACATTAAAATGTTTTCAATATGTCACCATTTGCTGCAGGGGTTTTTTGTCAGCTTAAGGAAGCTCTCTTCTATTTTTAGTTTCCTCAAGGTTTATTTTATCATGAATTAATGTTGGAGTATATCAAATGCTTTCCTGCATTAAGATCAAATGATTTCTCCCCTTACATGTATTGCGAACAGGGCTTAACAGAAACTTTCCCAGTTCTGTTGCGTTGACGACCTTTATTTGACTCCGGCTTAATTTACCAGTAATCTGATACTACATAGGTCGACTGTGTGGCTGGGCAAAGTTGCTTCTGGTATCAGTGAACCCAGATTGGTAAATTGCACTGGACTGGGAAGAGCTCTAAGTGAGCTCTAAATACCTGATGGGGCAGCCACACCTTTGGGTTTTCCTGTATGTGTAGCTCTTACGATGAGGCGTGTCATCTAGGAGGAGCCTGAAAGCTACTCTGCCTACAGAGTTAATACAAGAGATCCTGGTTTCCCAGGAGATGGGAACTTCAAGTTGGAGTGTCTGCACCCACCTGATGTGAATCGAGGCCCCTGGCATCCGAGACATTATCTAGGAAGACCAAAGAAAACAGCTCATGGGTGGCTGTGAGAACTGCTCCTGGTCTGGCCCTATCCTGTTGAGCTCTGGTCCCTGTGCTATATAGCTCTGGGGGTGTTAGTAGTGAGAGAGGCCTGTGGTACTCATGAGTGTCAATGTTTAGTTGTGCCCCAGACTGCCTAGTTGGCATTGTAGATCTAGGAAAGCAGTGTAGTGTGAACATCGATTTCCTGATGTAAAATCAATCATGCGTTCCTGGGATAAATCCAACTTGATCATGACCTATTTTGTTTGTTGGATTTTTGTCTGATAATATGTTTTTGTACCTATGTTTGTAAGTGAAATCAGACTGGATCCTATGTTTGCTGAAGTCTGGGCATTAAGATTATGCTGATCTCTTAAAAAGGATCGCTGAATGTTACTTCCTTATTTATACTCTGGAATTGTAAGTATTAGATTGGCAGTATTTGTCTCTTAGATATTTCATAGTCCTTCTGAGTCAAACTATCCAGACCTAGAACTTAATTTGAAGAGAGTTTTAATTACTGTTTGAATTTCTTTAATGGTTAGAGGACTGCTTAGGTATTCTGTTTCTACTTGAGTTTGAGTTGGTAGGTACAGTTTAGCAGTTTGTTCACTTCATCTAAATTTTCAAATCTATTTACGTTCTCTGCTAGTTTTTAAAGTTTCAAACTCTTTTATAGTTACCCTAGATATTTTAATGTAAAGACTTAAGTTATCAAAGTTCTAAATTAATATTTTTATCTTTCTCTTTCCAATTATAAGGGCTTTAGAATACTTAGGGCAAGCTCCCTCCTCCCCCACCTTCTTTAAATGTTTGTTTTCTACTTGAATTTACTTTTTTTTTTTTTTGAAAATTTGTTTTCACTTATATAAATATATCCATGAATTCCAGCCAAAGGAGTTTCTGCTTGATATTACTTAACTCATATTAGAATTACTAATCAGGGGGTGCCTGGGTGGCTCAGTGGGCTAAAGACTCTGCCTTCAGCTCAGGTCATGATCCCAGGGTCCTGGGATCGAGCCCCACATCAGGGGCTCTGCTCAGCAGGGAGCCTGCTTCCTCCTCTCTCTCTGCCTGCTTCTCTGTGATCTCCGTCTGTCAAATAAATTAAAAACAAAAAAGAATTACTAATCAGTAGCTGTTTTTTATTATTAATTAATTAATTAATTTTAAGATCTATTTATTTATTTGAGAGACAGCTCCAGCAAGTGTAGGGGGGGCGGGCCAGGGAGAGGGAGAGAGCATCCCAAGCAGACTCTGCACTGAGCATGCAGCCCTAGGCCAGGGTCAATCCCATGACTCCAAGATCATGACTGAGCCAAAATCAAGAGTCTGATGCTCAACCAGCTGTGCCACCCAGGCGCCCCTTCAGATGTTTTATTATAAGGCTTTTCTTTAAAGAAGATTTTTGTTATTAGTTTAGTTCACTAAAGCAGTCAGAAGATCTAGTGGGAGCCTGGCAGCACTTTTCTACAGAAAGAGAAAAAAAGAAGGTAAATTTCTTCAGCTAAGGTTAACCTTTAACTAAGTAAGTTATATCGCAGAATTTAAGATTTGGGAGCTTGGCAAGATTCATATATTTTTATTACAGAAATTGAATTCAAAAGAGGAAAATTAAGCTAACAGGACCCCCCCGAAACACATCAGAGAGTCTGGAAATGTTTTATATTAGTATGGTCACCCATTTGTTTATCGTGTGCATTTGATTCCCCACGTACAAGAACTAAAACCAAATACAAACCTTAGTCAGTTATACTTTAAAAAAATAGAATTTTGGGACGCCTGGGTGGCTCAGTGGGTTAAGCCGCTGCCTTCGGCTCAGGTCATGATCCCAGCGTCCTGGGATCGAGTCCCACATCGGGCTCCTTGCTCAGCAGGGAGCCTGCTTCTCCCTCTGCCTCTGCCTGCCACTCTATCTGCTTGTGCTCTCTCTCTCTCTCTCTCTGACAAATAAATAAATAAAATCTTTAAAAAAAAAAATAGAATTTTAAAAAGAATTCCTAAAAGAGAAATAATTCCCAGAAATCATATAGTCTAACTCCTTCAATTTATAACTAAGGAAGCTCAAGTTCAGTCAAAACAAGTGACTTATTAAACAAGAAAGAAATTAAGAAAAATGGTTGTTGGACCAAAAAGAGCAGTGTTACTATTCAGTTTATCTCTGTTTTGAATAATTGAATTAAAAGACAAACCAGTGCCGTTCATTATTAACCACTAATTCCCTCAACAGTTGAAAGTCTTGTGTCAGAGATGTCAATGGTATAGTTTGGATTACTCTTCCCGATTTTTACCTCAGTGTGACCCAGAAACCAATGGCAGTCTTTCTGCTGGAAGTGCAGGAGGCTGAGAATTGCAGGCATGCTGCCTGTAACACACCAATTAGAAGACAAGGAGAAGAAATTCTACATTTTTTTTTTTAAAGTAATCTCCACACCACACGGGGGCTCAAACTCACATTCGAGAGATCAAGAGTCACATCTATGCTCTCCTGGCTGAGCCAGCCAGATGTCCCCCGAATACTGAAATCTTCAGTCATCACTGCAAAGCCTCATAACATGTGTTCTTGAAAGGAACTCACTTGCCTCAAGGAGGTTAGAATCAGTCAGGATTCCACAGTTATATCCTGGCTGTGCACAGCGGTGATGTCCAGAGGGTTGTGAGGGCCTTTCTAGAAGGTGGCACTGGCTAGGGAAGCCAGCCACTGACTCCTATAGTTTATCCACTTTCTCAGCTGGAGAATTTTCTGGTACCGATGGGGGCAGCCCAGTGGCAGGGGTTAGGAATAATTCCTGACACCACAACCAGCCCACATTCATTGCTTGCATGTGCTCGGTCAGCTGCCAAAAGAGAGGGATTCTTCCTTTTGAAATTCGTTTTTGTTTGTTTTTTGGGGGTTTTTGGCCTTTTGAATGTCTGGTCACTTCTAGGGCTGGGAATTATTGTTTTTAACCCAAAAGAATATTTTCCTTATTTCTAAAACTTTGGTTCTACCATGAGAGACCTTGTGATCCAAGTCTCTGCTCCTCCCTGACGTGCTTTCCACCTTCCTCAGACGGGGATGGTGGGCCCTCTTCCACAGCTCCTGGCTGGCAGCCTCCTAAGGGCTGGTTGCCACAGCCGTGGCTGGTACAGCTGCAGATAAAACAGCTGTGTGCAGATGTGGGGAGTTCTTTCCCAGTTCTTCCACCACTGGGTAAAAAGGGAGTCTTCAAAGGCAACAGCAGAAAGCATCAGTTAACAGGGGATGAACAGGACTGGGGCATCAGACTCCCCTCTAGTTTCAAGTCCTATGAAACGACCAGTTGTGATTTGGGCTGTAAAGGAAACAAAGAGCAGATGCTGTGGAGCCAGGATCCGGAGCCAGGATCCGAGGGTTTTCCTCTGGGGCTGAGAAGGCTTCTTCGCGGGCGGGGAGGGCACTGGGTTGGAGTCAGGACTTCCCAGCTTGAGTGCCAGCTCTGTCCCTTAGGTGATATGTGCTCTAGACAAGTCACTAACTAGACCTGAGCTTCAATTTCTGTCACAAACTGAAGGAGTTGAATTCGATCCCGGAGGGATACCACGTTCTCTTGTTCTACAGAGAATTCTAGTCTACTTACATTACTGGATCCATCTGGTCCCCGAAGTTCTTGGAATGCACTCTTTCAGCAAAGTGTACATCCATGCCAAATTGGTATGTAAAAAGTAGGGAATATTCTTTTCACAGTGCCCCATTTTCTATAAAAACAAGTGTAATGGCTGTTACGTAATCATTTAAAAATATTTTATTAAGCAGTGACTTAAAAAATGCAAGAGAAGAATATAACCCCTCACAGCAATTGCCTGAAGGTAAAACAAATATCACTATAAATATTGCACTTATAAAATCTCTTTTTTACATCTTCACACCACTCATTTCTAAAATACCCTTTTACAGAGACGTATAAATAAACTGCTTCCACACTGTCAGTGCTTGATACATTCAGTTTCCTATCGCCGCACCAAGTCTGCAAGTTTTCAATCACGTATCTGCTCCTCTCGGCGCAGGCAAAGAACTCCCACCAGTGATACCGGAGGTCTCATACCTACATCATGTGAAGAGTAAATCTTTCTGAATGCTCAATATTTAATATGACTTTTTTTTCCTACAGAGAAAAATATAGATCTTTCAAAGGCAATGACAGAATGCAGCTTAAATCGACACAGTTCATTATTAACATTGCTTGTTTTTCAAGGCATCCAGGAGCTTCTGATTCTTGGTCTTGAACATCATGATAAAGCTGTTTGGCATGATTTTGCCTCGCCCATCTTCACCCACTTGGCCCATAATAATGTAATTTAGACCTAAAAAAAAAGAGAACATAAATTAATTTTTTTCTCCATGTGTATTTTTTTTATTATTATTTTTAAAGATTTTATTAGAGGGGTGCCTGGGTGGCTCAGTCGTTAAGCATCTGCCTTCGGCTCAGGTCATGATCCCAGAGCCCTGCATCGGCTGTCTGCTCAGCGGGAAGCCTGCTTCTTCCTCTCCCACTCATCCTGCTTGTGTTCTCTTTCTTGCTATTTCTATGTCAAATAAATAAAATCTCTAGAAAAAAAAAAAAGATTTTATTAGAGTGAGGAAGCACATGCAAGTGCAGGAGGAGGGGGAGAGGGAAAGGGAGAGGGAGAAAAAGACTCCCTGCTGAGCAGGGAGCCCCAACCTGGGTGTGGGGGGGGGGGGCTTGATCCCAGTACCCTGGGATCGTGCCCTGAGCCGCAGGCAGATGCTTAACTGACTGAGTCACCCAGGTGCCCTCTATGTGTATTGTTTTGATAAAATTTAGACTATAACCTACCTCTAGATAAATGATCTGTAAATGGTAAAATTACACGTTTAGTCTATTCAGGATAAAATCAGGTTTAAGCCTCTCATCAGAAAAAAATCTAAATTCAACTAAGTTACATGTTCCAGCTCTACCAACACTGGGAAGATGGGTGGAATGGTGAGATCCTGTCGTGTCCTGCTCTGTGGTGCTGTGGGTCTGGGGCATTTACTGAGTGTCTGCTGTGCACGACCCCTGTGTTTGTGTAAAGATTGTCCTTCCTTGAGGGGCCGCAGTGCTCCCCGACACGTCATCCTCAGACGGCCTCTCATCCTCTCAGAACACTTCTGGATTCCCAGGCCTTTGGCAACTAATGGGCCGTTGTCTTCTGCTCCTGTGGTCGACTTGAACTCTTCTCAACACCTTGAGCATTTATACTACTTTAGTTCCTTGAGGACATGGTTGTATCATCTATTTCTTTGCATTCTCACAGTTTCTTGCAACAAATAGTTACGAAAAAGTACTTCTATCAGATGGACACTTTTTTGTATCACAATGTGTCTGGCTAAGTTAGGCCTAGACTGGGGCTCAAGCTGAGGTATGTCGGGTTCAACTCTGAAGACCTACCCTGTCTGAGAAAAATGTCATAAAGCAAGCGTGTATTACAGTCTCCTTCACTCTCCCTTTCTCCTGTGTGTCATAAGAGAAACATGTATATCCTTTTTCTCTGTCATAATCCTTCCTCCGTGGGCTAACATTGTCCTGTAGTGATCTTGAGCTGTGCAAGCATGGAAGGCTGTGCAGGAGGGCCCCTCCTCAAGGCTGGACTGCTGGCATTGTGAGGAGACCCTCCAGTAAGTATCTCTATGTATGTTACTTGCTTCTCCTGTAAGAGAAGTGTTATCTCTTACAGAGCCTTTCCCTCTGAAGAATCAACATACCGCTGCTAGCTAGCCTCCAGACTTTTCTGAACAATCTGACTGCATAGTAAAGCTTTCTGGAAGTGGATGTTCTCTTGCGCGCTCTCTCTCTCTCTCTGTGTGTGTGTGTGTGTGTGTGTGTGTGTGTGTGTGTGTGTTGTGGTTTGGTTATTGTAACAAGACTGAGGAAAGGAATGAGCTGAGATTGGATAGAGAAATTATGGTATATCACACAATGGAATACCAGGCATTATTACCATCCCAGAGAGAGATCTATCTATAGGTGCTATTTGTGGAAAGATGTCCGCACACATCATGTGGGGGAAGCTGCAGTAGAATATTATAGCACAATCTCATTTGTCTAAGTGTGTATGTGGGTGCTTTCTGTAGATAGAACTTTCTAGAAGGAACTTTCACAGTACCTCTGGGGAAAGGGAAAAGGCTTCACTTTTTATTTTATATCCCTACTTACTTAAACTTTTTAAAAACCATAGAACATACACTACTTTTATAAGTTAAAGAACTTGTTAAAAAAAATCTTGTGCCTCGGGCTCTGGACTTTTTCCTTTTTTAAACTTTCCTTTTTCCATAATTTCTCCTAATTTGATTTCCATGTGTGGATTTAATGATTCTGTGTCCGAAAATGATTCCCAAATCTTTAATTCTAGCCCATATATACCTCTGTCTTCTGAATATCAGCTCCGAATTTCCTGCTCCTTGCTGGATATTTTCGTCTAAAACTGTATTGGAACTTGAAGTGCAAAAACAAACTCTCTTTCCCCCGAACTGCTCCTTCTGTGTTTGTTCCTTGTTGATCCAGCTTCAAATGCTTCTTGGACTCTTTTATCACTTCCACTATCTCATCTTCTGCCACAAGTTACAAGAACTGGGACCAGAGCCCTATTCTGCCTGACTCCAAAGCCTGCCTTCTACACCAGAAGTGGCCAACAGATGAAGCTTGATTTTAGTTCCCTTGCCCAGCCATGGCGTGGAAATATCCGTGACTTACTCAGACTTTCTCTTGTTCCCTTCTCTGTCCCTGAGCTCCCCTCCAAGAAAGACTAAAGTTTTCCTCCTTACCTCTCCTGAGGAGAGGGCACTGCTTGCAGACCACAGTGATCTTGGCACTCATGTTCTTGCCAGCCTGCTGAATTGCCAGATTTCCCTCCTTATAGATGTTGATGATCGAGACAGTGGCATGCAAGCTTCCACCTCGGGTGACAGTTGTGATCATGGTGCCAGCCAATACTGCCAAAGAAAACATTTGGAAATAATATGACTGTGGAGGTAAATGTAGGCAGAACTGAAAATTGTTGTACATTCTTCTAAGTTTCTGATAGGAAATGTTTTAATGTTCAAGAGAAGGCCCTAATAGAACTATCGGATTTGAGTCTGTGCATTTGTCCCCAAAATTCAGGTTGGGAAAAAAGAGGCCATGAAGCCATAATGTTACCCAGGTCACCTATGACAGAAACTGAAATGTCTCTTGCCCTGCAAGCTACTGCTGAGATGGGGACTCCTGATGATGTTTTATCCAACATGGGGACCATTTACCAGGTAAGGCAGAGGCTTATGAGCCTCTACCTCTTAATTCTCAATAAGATCTTGAGTCTTTAGACCCAATACTATACTGAGGTTGCATGGCAGGGGTTCAAGCCATTAAGACATGAGCCTTCCTGTTGGTATGGTTGAGTGCCTACCTCTCTGTGTCTTTCCCCCTTTCTCTTTAGCTGTCCTCTCTCCTTCAACTTCGGTTCATCCCATGGGTCCCCATCTCTAATTATCGGTAAATACCTGTGTTTTTCTGGGTCTTTCTTATCTACCTTGTATATCTCATTTAATAAAGTATAGAACTGAGTAAAACAATATTTTCTTGCTTAAAAAAAAAAAAACACAACAACCAAAAAACCCTAGCAAAACTCAGTTGCTTTTCATTATGTAATTTCTCTTTCTTCCATTGTAATGTAAGAGGAAAGAGTCTCACTTTGGAGCCACAAGGAAAGATGCTATGTTTCTCAAAGGCATGCTTTTGGCATTTTGTGGGTGACCATTCTATGTGGTGCAGGACTTGGGTTGGGAGACTGTTTTAAGAGCCCTGTCCCTGTTACCAGTGCAGGCGGAGAACCAGTGGGCCGCTGGGGATAGTATTTGGTCATTTTGCCAAGTAAGAGAGTTAACAGTGGAATAAATCAAGTTTTGGACTTGGCTGACACGACCCTTGAGGTTAAGGTGAGAAGTCACTTCTTAGGTAGTAGGCAAAATTCATAAAATCAGAATGTTTATCATGCCCTACTTTGATTCCTGGTGATGTGTGCACTGCAAAATGTTAGTCGATAGCCAAGGGAACTCGGGGGGCTCCAAAGGACATGGAGGGGATTGCCTCAAGCACCTCCCACAGAAGACTAACCTGGATGTGATAGCAATTTGTTTTCATTTTTATGCCTGTTATTTGAATTTCAGCACGGAAACTCCAGTAAGATTTAGGGCCCAGTGGGTTCTTCAGTGCCTTCACGCCTTTGCTACAACATAGTCGTCTGCACTTCAGATAGCCTTTTCCGGGAGACTGTTCATTCTGGGTAACATACTTAGGTTTTAGCAACTTTCTTTTCCTGACAAGAATTTTCTTCAACATCCCTTTTTAAAAAAAACCCACATAATTAAATTTGGTATCTCTTGCTTTTCAGTGATTTTTTTACAGGAAGTGCCATTTTTTTTAAACTGGAGAGAGCTCTTAGAAATTCTAAGTCATTAGGTAGTATCTCCTTAGGTTCCAATTTACAAGTCATTTCCAAAGAGATTTCAGGTTCCCAAGTTTTAATTTAGTACTTTGGAAGGACATGACAGAAGAAATACTTGAATTTCTTCTGAGAAAGGCCAGCTTGGATATGTTTCTAATTTACTTAGGTGGAATTACAGATGTGTGAAAAAGTGCTCAGGACATGAAAAGTATGTGAGAAAAATTGTGCAGAGTTTTTCAGGATCACCGAGCCACCGAGAACACACAGGGTAGTGGTATCATACTCCAGAGTCAAATTATTAAGTTTATGTGGGAAAAGCACATTTTCTGCATACATATTATTCTCAGTTGTGAAATCCAACACTTTGAACAGCACTAGTCAACATACCTCAGGGTATAGGAAAATATTTTCTTGGGTAAATGAAGAGTGTAACTGACACTTCACCATCACATTCATGGCAGTTCCTTTGAGATTAAGCATGCAGTCTCAACTTTCTGATTAAAGAGAAAAGCCTGGGTTTTATTTCTTACCAAAGTTACTTGAACAATAATTGCTCTCCAGAGTCCCCGTCCGTCTACACTTTTGTTGACACAGGGCCACGGTGGGTTTTAAACCTAAACTCAAAGCAGACAGACATAAGATTCAGGAAAATGAATTCAAGTATAATTGGTATTTAGACCTGAATCCATCTACTTAAAATTCCTATTTCCCTGAGCCACCAAGCTGTCATTGCAATGAAATAATTAGAAAACATTCAAAAGAAATTCTTTATGCTACTAACTACTGCTCTAATTTCCTCAGGGTAACTCAATGCTCTCTGCTGAATTTTAAACCTGAGATCAAAGATAACCCAAATTTAGCCCTATTCTCTTCTTCCTTTATATATAACGAACACTAACCAAAAATAGATGCAGTCTCCATGCGCCCAGCTTAGAAAAACCCAGTACATCAAATATGAACTCAGAAAATACATGTTAATTCTTCACTTTAGAAAAGGAATTGAGTGGTGTTCCCCTTGAGGATGGAGGGAGCCTTCTTGGTGCATTTAAAAATACCCAACTGTCCAAATGTGAGTAGTATGACTCTGTAGAAATACTGCTCATGTGTAAAGCGTGTTATGCCTGTAATGAGATGTAACTGGTCACTAAACATTTATTTTGAGCCCGTCATTGCCTATAAAGATCTTAAGAACTGGGAAGTTGAGTAATTTAAAAATAAAATGAAATAGATAAACACAGTAGTTCTCCAGCAAAAGAGATTTTGTTCTCGGGTGACATTTTGCCATGTCCGGAAATAGTTTTGGCTGTCACAACAGGGTCGTTACTGGCCTCTAGTGGGTAGATACCAAGGATTGCTGCTGAAGGTCCCCAACAGCAAAGCATCATCTGGCCTAAAATGTAAACACTGCCAAGGTTGAGAAACTGTGAGTTAACAAAATCAAAGTAGTTAATTCCCATTATCATCAACAAAAAAAGTTTCCAAAATATTTGCTAGTTATTCACTTACATGTGGCAAAATGCGAGGAAGAACTAAACAAAACAACCGTAACAGAATTGTTCTTGTTGGGCAAGAATTTGCAGTTGTAACATTGCCCTTCTAATAGGTCCTGTGAACTCTTCTGTGAATTTATTATTTATTTAGTTTTAATTTGTACCTATACGTAACTCCAAAAAAGGACCTCAGGTGAATCACATTATTAAAATATGTACAATTTAATGTTAAAGTACATATAATAGGATCTGTGTGTGTATAAATTTTTTAAGACAAAGAGCTCAGACAACATTTAGAGGGAACATAGTTCTAAAAGTTGGACACCTAAATTTACCTTATTAACTGCGTCAAAAAGTAGTGGCATTAGTGGTTCTGTCTGATGAAAGAGCATCCTTTCTGTGGGCACTGGAAACTGCTCCTCTCAGCTTGGGAACATCAGTCTGCAAAATGGGTGCATGTCCCACCCTGCTCCTCCCCTCCCTTCAGTAGATCCCTGTGCTCTTGGTTTTAAATCAATGTTAGAGCACCCTGACCCTGTAACCTCACTGTCTACTCTCTCCCTGCACTCCCATGTGGTGCCATGTGGTCCCCAGCCTTCTTCTCCAGGTGCACCTGCAACCATCTCACTGCACCCCCCCTCCACGGTCCTCTCGGTGCTGTGGCTCCATCGCTCCCAGACGTTCCCTCTGCTCTGTGTCTGTCACTCAGTGCCAGGCTCACATGTCTTCCTGCTAGAGCTTCATCACCAAGCTCTCAAGCTTAGACATCCAAGCTGCCTCTCCTTCAAGCCCTTCTCTTTTCAGTCTCCTTTGCCATTATAGCTTCCTTTTTAAAAAGCTGGAACTTCTAGAGATTGAATTCCAGCCCTTTCTCCACCTTTCTCTCCTAACCTCTCCTTGGATGACCTCCTTCTGGACCAACCATGTATATACTGATGATCTGCAAATGTAAATCTCTTGCAGAAATCTCTTCTGGAGGAGATCATGGATCAAACTGGACTTGACTAGTCCACTTGAGTGTCATACACTCAGGCCCAACAAGCCACAGCTTAACTAATGACTAGAGACTTAAACCCAGTTCTCTGCTTCAGTGATGGTCTCATTATCCTTGGAACAGAGCAAGCCAGAGACTTGGGAAGGATTCTTGACACCCCCCTCATCTCCCTAATCCAATGAATCATCAATGAAAGACATGTCAGTATCTCCCAAGGCCCCTGCCTTGTACAACAGCCAGCATTTCTTGACTCTGTCTGTATTTCAGCACAGTTTCCCTGGATAACCACAAGAACCTGTGGCCTCTTGACCCTCCCATCCATTCACCTCACAGTGACCAGACTGACATTCACAAAGTGAGAATCTAATCCTGAACTTTGCCTAAATCCATCAACAGTTTCCCCCCAAATTAGGAAAAAATCCCAATACTCTAAAAAATCCCCACACTTAGGACAGAATCCTAACACTCTAAAATACTTAGAAGCATAAGGAGAGAGGTGGTAGGACCTAGAGAGAGAAGCTAAGCACAACGTGTGAAGGGTCTTATAAATGGCATGAAGAAACTTGATCCCTGTACTGCCCATTCTGATAGCCACTCGCCACATGAAGCTTCTTACATTAATTAAATTAAAATTCAGTTCCTCTGCATCACTAGCCACATTTCAAGTGTCCAACAGTGGCTATGGTATTGGATAGCACAGGTGTAGACAATGAATTCCAGTGGGAGACATGATCTGCTTTGTGTGGAGGGGGACATGCAGTGGGGAGGTAGGCGAGAGGAGCTCAAGGATGATCTAAGAGTGTGGCTACTAATGCTGTGGGCATGCTTGGGGAAGCCGTGGAGAAGCTGATTTAAAGCAGAAAATAGTGTGATCAAAATAAGTTGAGTTTGGTGTGTTTTAATTTAATTTAATTTAAATGTGTTTTAATTTAATTTAATTTAAATGTTTAGCAGTCACAAAACCCTAGGAGATAATCCTAAATTGATGTTTGCAATTTCAGAGAGGTTTAGGACTGAAGATAAAAATCTAGGGAACCATTTAATTCACTGAAAGGAATAAGGACATCAGGGTCCCCTGAGACGAGCTGGAGAAATAAGAAATAGGGCTTCAGTGTAAGGCAGTACATCTCTAGGCCACAAGGTGGCACACTTGTGGAGTGTCAGAAGAAAGAGCCCTTTGTAGAAGCGCCTGTACTCAGGTCAGGCTGACTTCGGGTGCAAGCAGAAAATGGTGGGCAATAAAGCTGGGCTCATTTTCAACCTGTCTTGTATCCTAACTTTAGATCTTTCATTCCCACTTTTTTCTTTCTCCAGATTTAGATTTTGAGATCTGATGCCTGAAATCTCACTGCGTGGAGCTAACAGGCTGTAGGGACTCAACATGGGGGCTCCACTCTTGCCGCTCCGTTTCTTAGATCATGCTCCAGTTTCCCAACTGGCTACTATAACCCATTGAGTACTTCTGTTTGATTAACCCCAATTTGAAAGAAAAAAATGTATTTTGCACAACACATTTCAGAGGGAAGCAAAATAAAACAAAAACCCAAAAAACTGGCAGATGGAAAATAGACAGGTATCAAGACCCTAGAACTTTAATCTAAAATACTACAATTCTTTGTAATAAAGTCATAATTTTGTAAGTACCAGAAAAGAAAAACTGGGCTTATAATGATCTATGCCTATGTCAGGTTCCTAATATTTTTTAAGTGGTCATAATTTTCTTAGATGACATTTGAAAATTATTAGCTTCTAAACACTTATACCTTATACTTTTCTTTCATTAATGGAGTCATATTATTCCCTTAGATAAGTTTTCATCTTATTTAATTTAGTTTCAAGTATCTTTAATTTTTTTTTCTATTTCAAAAGAATTTTTCTTATACTCCTGAAGTGTGTGTGCAAACATCAAAACAGAAAAACTCACCTGTAGTTACAGGGAACGTGGTGGTAACAGGTGATGCTGTAGTTGTAGGCAGTTTTTTTGGCCTGAATTTGTAGTGACCAATAAACCCATCTGCAGTTAAACTTAAGTCTGATAAAAACTGAATGAGAAGTTCATTTCTCTCAGATACAATTGGCCTAAAAGAAGAAAAACATTAAAAAAAATTTTTTTTAAAAAGTGGCACCTCTCTGAAATGTAGAATTCTGCTCTCCATTCATTTTTGACAATAGATTACGGTATATGTAAACTTAAAAGCTAAATACTTCAAAAGGCAAAAGTCTCAATCTGCTCAGTATTAATGCTACTTAGCTAACATTTCCTGAGTGTTTGTGCAGCTCAGCACTATGCTTTATGCAAACTCTCGAATTCCTCCTTCACGGCAACCCTATTGTTATCCCTTTCTTACCAAAAAGACAACTGAACTTCAGAGTTCAAGTGATTTGCCCGAGGCCCTATAGCTAGTGTATGTGGGGGAGGCAGGATTTGAACGTAGGACCAGGTAGACCTTGGGACCAATGTAAACATGGAAGCTGTGGCTGGTTCCTCATGAGCACCTTAGCTTTGGGCCTGACCTGGGAACCACACTGCTTCTTTTGACAAAGACTCTGGACCTAAGCTGGCCGGGCAGCTAGGGATGCTGGCCCGAGAGAGTCAGATGAAGAAATCTGATGAACAAATTCCCACGCCCCATAAAGATTCAGCCAGAGGGATCATCTCAGTGGGCTGGTCACTAGGGGATAAAAAAGTCGTGACTTTCATTTCATATTTAATGAGACCTCTGGTACATGCCCAAAATGGAAACATTTCTGTTTATAATCTCAGTGGCAGAATGCTGTGAAGGAGAAAGTGATTGCTTTGGTAGTTATGAACAACATCATGAAGAACTCTAATTTTAAAGCTATTTTGGGGGCTTGCTGATTAGCTGGCACTAAAGATTTACTGGTGATGATAACTGAGGCTCACAGCACTTGTAAGTCTTAGGGGATAACTATTACATAAAAGAGTTTCATTTGAACTTTTTCTATTATAATTTAAGCAATGGTTTAAAAATGCTATGTGGCTAATTCTATTTAAAGACTAGTTAATTGAAAAGTGGAAAAAAAAAAAAAACCACCAAAACCTGAACAGGCTATTTAACAGAGTTAATTGGCGGTTTGACTAAAGTTTTTTGAGGCATCTTCTCAGCCAAACTATTTTTCAGGCATTATGGGCAGCAAATAAGGAGGCACTTTATCCCCTCTCCCAGCTCCCTCCCCCACACACCTGACAGCTACTTTGAGTAGGAATGTTTGTGTGTATGTCGGTGAAGGAGGTAGATCTGTATATGACCAAACCAGCTAGAAAAATTGCAGGATCTTTTCTGCCTTGAAGGCTACTACCTCCTGAGCCAAGGGATGGGACAAACCTAAGAGTGAGCTTTGTGACCTATAGCTAGCATCCTTGTCACGAAAGTGATTGAGATCATTGAGAATTAAGCCTTTATCAGAAATATTCTGTCTTCATGACAAAGTACTCCACATCACTCAGCAGCGGGGAAATACAAATCAAAACCACAATGAGATACCACCTCACACCAGTCAGAATGGCTAAAATTAACAAGTCAGGAAATGACAGATGTTGGTGAGGTGGCAGGGAAAGGGGAACCCTCTTACATTATTGGTGGGAATGCAAGCTGGTGCAGCCACTGCAGAAAAGAGTATGGAGGTTCCTCAAAAAGTTGAAAATAGAGCTACCCTATGACCCAGCAATTGCACTACTGGATATTTACCCCAAAGATACAAATGGAGTGATCTGAAGGGGCACGTGCACCGGAATGTTTATAGTAGCAATGTCCACAATAGCCAAACTATGGAAAAAGCCCAGATGTCCATCAACAGATGAATGGATAAAGAAGATGTGGTGTATATATATACAATGGAATATTATGCAGCCATCAAAAGAAATGAAATATTGCCATTTGCAACGACATGGATGGAACTAGAGGGTATTATGCTTAGTGAAATAAGTCAATCGGAGAAAGACAACTATTATATGATCTCCCTGATATGAGGAAGTGGTGATGCAACGTGGGGGGCTTTGGGGGTCGGGAAGGAAAAAATGAAACAAGATGGGATAGGGAGGGAGACAAACTATAAGTGACTCTTAATCTCACAAAACAAACTGAGGGTTACCGGGGGGAGGGGGGTTGGGAGAGGGTGGTTGGGTTATGGACACTGGGGAAGGTACGTGCTATGGTGAGTGCTATGAAGTGTATAAACCTGGCGATTCACAGACCTGTACCCCTGGGACTAATAATACATTATATGTTAATAAAAAAATTAAAAAATTAAAAAAAAATAAATATTCTGTCTTGCTTTTGAAAACACATTCCATTAAATAAATACAAACAATGTGCATGAAACACAATTCCCAACTACGATAAAATACGTTAAACTTGTTTAAATGATAAAATTACAAAAAGCACTTATTATAAGCGGCAAAGGAAACCTCAAGACCTAATCAGGTCAGCCTTCTGGGCAAATGTTAAATTACAGTCATCAACGAATGCCTCTTCTATGAACTAATCTTGGGAGCGTTAAATTGGAAGTTGACTTTTCTCAAGGAAGAGTATTTTAGTAACAAAGACATATTTTTGTTACATTGCTACTGAGCTTTAGGCATGAATGTGACAGAATCACAGAGCCATAAATGTTCTGAGGGCCATGTGTTGCATCTGCAAATTAATGTTACAAATCACTAGAAAGGCAAGAGGAACTCGCACTTGGATTCATTCCATGCTGGCAGGTCCCGGGAAGGGATGGAGGAGGCTGTTTGGTTTTACAGAGCTAGCTGTGTTAGTGGTCGCTGCTTTGTCATCCCAGCCTTCCTCATCATCAGTCTCTGCGGCCAGTCAACTACCATGTCCTGCCAATCTTGCACCCTGAGCATTTCTTGATCCACCTCCTGTCCATCTCTACCATTCTTTCCTGCCTCCTCAACTTCACTGGGAACCCCTGCCACAGCCTTCTAACCAGACTCTCTTGCTCATCTTGTCAAGGATGGAGATTCTAAGGCAATGGTCCCATCATTTCCGGCCTAAATGCACCCAAAAGGTTCCTGTGTCTGCAGGATGTGGAACCCTGTTCAGTGTTCCTGCCTCTTCTCTCTCCTCCTAGGCCCCAGCGCAAGGTTTGGGTTCCAAAATAGCACATACCTCCCCTGTGTACCTCTATTAGCGGAGCTCCTTCTAACTTGGAATGACTCTGTCCTCCCTTCCACCTGTGACCAACACCTGCCCTTCAAGACTAAGCTTCAAGAGGCACAATCTCCTCCAAAAAACCTCTCCTGACCTCTTCACCACTTGTCCTGACTGGACTGAAGGACCCCTTGATCATCTAATGCCAATTCTATGGACTAATCTTGGGAAGGACTAATCTGACTCCTTGTCAGAAATCCTGGACCCGTGGGTCTTTGCCAAATATGTGACAGATACCAGTTTCTGTTTTGTACCTTCTCTTTTCCCTCTCTTGAAGGTGTATTTTGATGAGTAGAAATTATCATTTAAGTTTCCAATGCATCTGTAGTTGATTTTTGTGTGATACGATTCATTTTACCCATAAAAGTAAGACTTATCCCTGCCTCATTTTTCAGTGGGCCATTTTTTTACTAGTGGACATGTGGGTCTCTGTGATGTGCCTCATCTGCAGACACGTGTAGATACGTTTCTGGCCTCCCTTTGGTGTCTTCATTAGTCTGTTTGTCTATCTCTATTAAAACCACATTGTCTCAATTATGACAGCTTTCTGAAATGACTTCATCATGTAAGGCAAATCCTCCTGCCAGGTTCTCCTTCAGAACTGCCTTAGTGTCATCCCCTTCCCCCACCCCCTTGCAATTTCATGAACAGTTTAGAATCAGGCTGTCATGGTTAATGAAAAACGGATTTTGTTATTTTTAAATGACACTAATTCTTCCCATTCATGAGAAAGTATATAACTCCACTTATTGAGGTCTTTTAAAATACCTTTGAGTAAGGTCTTACAATTTTCTCCATTAAGGCCTTATATGGAAGTATTAGATTTATTTTTGAATATCTTTTTAGTCGCTATGAAAATAATCTTTCTAAAAATACCAACTTTTTTTTTTTTTTAAGTATTTAAGAAATGCAACCTTTTCTTTTAAGGCTCCAAGCTGGGCATGGAGCCTACTTGAACTCACAACCCTGAGATTAAGACATGAGCTGAGATCAAGATTGGATTCCCCAACTGACTGAGCCACCCAGGCACCCCCAAATTTTTTATTCAAGCTTTTTAAGAAAAGGTATTCTTGAATAATTAATGTTTCCAACCAAAAAAAAAAAAATTAAACCTGCAAGTCACACTTTAATCTAGTAATGTATTTTCTAAATTCAAACCAACCTCAAATTCCTGGTTAGAGAGCCTTTTTTATACATTGTTAGATTTGACTTCCTAATATTTTTTCTTTTAAGATTTGTTTTTCATCACATTCATAAGTAAGATCAATCTTTAATATTCTTTTGGGGGGGGGATTCTGTCCTTAACTTGTTTTGGTGTCTATTTATACTAGCTTTATAAAATCAGTTGTGGAGGGGCGCCTGGGTGGCTCAGTGGGTTAAACTTCTGCCTTCCGCTCAGGTCATGATCCCAGAGTCCTAGGATCATGCCCCACATCAGGTTTGCTCAGCAGGGAGCCTGCTTCCCACTCTCTCTCTGCCAGCCTCTCTGCCTACTTGTGATCTATCTCTCTGCCAAGTAAACAAATAAAATCTTAAAAAAAAAAAAAATCAATTGTGGAACAATCCCTGCTTTTCTCTGGAAGAATCTGTATAGTGTTGGTATCATTTGTTCCTCAAATGTTTGTTGGCACACATGGAGAAAAACAATCTGGGCCTGTTTCCTCCAGGTATCCTCCCCCCCAATTAGGAAGACTTTTAACAACCAATTAAGTTTCTTTAATGATTATTTGGCAATTCTGGGTTTTTCTTTTCCCTGTGTCCATTTTTGCTTAAAAAATATATATTTTCCCCAGTTGCTGAATGTAGTTGTTCTCTATCCATTAGATAACCTATTATTTTTCAAATCTTCTATATCCCATTTTTCCCTCTTTCTCCAACTGACAGTTAATCTCTCAACTATTTAAAGAGATGTGTTAAGAATCTCCTACTGTAATAGTAACTTTGTAGATCTATTAATTTTTGTTTACCTATTTTTTGCTTTATATATTTTTCTGTACATACAAGTTTACAGTTATTATACCTTCCTGATAAACTGTACCTTTTATCATTACATAGCAAATATTTTTAGTAATGCCTTCTGCCTAAAATCTACTTTTCCCTAATATCAATAAAACTATGCTCGTTTTCTTTCAACCAACATTTGGTTCCAATATCTTTTTCTATCCTTTTAGTCTCAAATGTCCTGTGTTCTTATTTTTGTTGGAGATGTGTCTTATAAACAGCATATATTGGGTATATTGGGTTTATTGTCCAGTCTAACATGCTTTGTCTTCTCACTAATGATTTGATTCATTTGCATTTATATTAATTACACATAGATCAAAATATAATTCTACCATCTTATTTTGTGCTTTTTTTTTTTTGTCTTGCCTTTTTTTTTTTTTTAAATGTTTCTCCTTTTCTCTTTTCTTGCCTTCCTTTGGAATGAACTTCTTTCTCATTTCATGTTTTCTCTCCCCTGTTTTGGAAGTTAAAGACTCTAATGGTTGCCCTAAACTTAACATCCACATTTACTTTAGCATCTTATACAGCTTAATAATATCTTCGCCCTGTTCCTAAACGACACAAGGGCCCGTGAGTCCTTCAGCTCTTAGGACCAGGATCTTTGCTCAGGGTTTCCTCCTGCAGCTCAGTCCTTTATCCAGCGACCGTTACTTTTCCGCTTGAAGTACAGAATGTGAAGCTTCTTTAGTTACGGTCTATTGGTAGAAAACTGTCTCAGCTCTTGTTTAAATGAAAAGGTCTTTTAACTTCTTTTATTCATAAATGAGAGGTTTTCCTGAGCAAATAATTCTAAAATGACAGTTATTTTGTCTCTGCATTTTGAGGATACTGTTCTAAGAGCTTCAGACTTCCACTATTGCTATGGAGAAGTCAGATGTTAGGCTAATTGGCTTCCTTCTGTGAAAATCTGTCTTTTCTCTCTGCTGTTTTTAACATCTCTCTGTTGTTCTGTGGTTTTGCTATAATATATGTAGGAATTGGTATATTAATATATATACTGCTTAGGATATATTGAGTTCTTTAATTTGATAATTGGGGTCTTTCATTTATAATGGAAAACTCGGCTATTATTTCTTCAAACATTACATCTCCTATATTCCCTATTTTTTTCTTATGGAACTCCAATTAAATGTATTTTAGAGCCTTGCACTCTAGGCTCTATGGCTCTTAACCTCTCTTTCATAGTTTCCATCTATTATCTTTTTATACTATATTCCAGGTAATTACTTCACAACTATTTCTCAGTTCCCTAATTCTTTTTGGAGCTATGTCTTATCTGCTATTTAACACATGTATTCAGTTTTCTGTGTAAGTTATCATATGTCTCAGTTCTAGAAATTTTATTAGGCTCTTTGTTAATTCTGTCATATCTCAAAGTCTCTTGTTTCTTTGTCAGACTTCCAATAATCTGCACCTTCATTTTGTATGAATTTCTTTAAGCATATTTATTTCACATTCTGCATGATAATTACTATATATGGCCTCTGATTATATTATATATTATATATTATTATATTATTATCTGATTATACTGTTTGTTTCTGCTGGTTCTTGTTTATGTTAACTTTTCCTTTATGTTTTGTGATTCTTTAGATTGGGAACTTATATTTCTTGAAACTTACTTATAGGAATTGTTAAAGCGTATGTTAGATGCATTCTTCCAGACAGGATTTGTGTTTTCTCCTCTCAGTCCCTCTGGGCACTACCAAATGGGAAACCTTAAATTCTGGGCTGCAGTCTTTTGTACAGTCAGGTAGTGTAAATTCTAACCTCAGACTCACATGTGGACTGGTTTTTGGTTAGGAATTCTCATGAGAGAATACCTTTACTTCCCTTTACCAAATGCCAAAGCCCAAACTGCCAATTTCCTTACCTTGATTCTTGGTGGGGAGGAGAATGAGTTCAGTCACATTGGTGTCACTTTCTATGGGTGCCTTACTTATGTTCTGGTCTTTGATCCAATCTCACCCCTTGCCTGGACCCTGAGCTCTGTCTCCTATCTCGAAGCCTCGTCTGCTGTGAGTGAAGTTCTAGGTTACCAAGAACTGGCACATGTCACCTGCAAGTACTTATCCTTTTGGATTTGGGTTTCTTAACATTTTTGACCTCTTATGAGTTCTCTTATTTTTTACCAACTGAGCAATGCTTAAAAAATTTTTTTTAACTTAGGAACACTGTTTAGTATTTATCCCTGTATGATTTTTAAAGGCTATCTTCATTTCTATATTGCCAGAAAATGAAACTTGAGAAAAATTTTTAAAAATATTTGAATATAAAGAGAAGGAGAGATATGGCAGAAAAAGCAACAGCAGGATAGAGTCAAGAAAGGGCTCCTGGGGCGCCTGGGTGACTCAGTGGGTTAAGCCGCTGCCTTCGGCTCAGGTCATGATCTCAGGGTCCTGGGATCGAGCCCCGCATTCGGCTCTCTGCTCAGTGGAGAGCCTGCTTCCTCCTCTCTCTCTACCTGCCTCTCTGCCTGCTTGTGATCTCTCTCTGTCAAATAAATAAATAAAATCTTTAAAAAAAAAAAAAAAAGAAAGGGCTCCTTTTTTTTTTTGCCCCTTAATTCAGTAGAACTTAAATTTACAGGCTATGGGAAAGAAATAAAAACAAAAAGGAGGCAGAGGTTAAAAAGGTGGAGATGATGGAGAAAAAGAAGAGGACTACTGGACAGAGGGAAGTATCAAGGGAGAAAAGGAGAAGGTCAGAAGGAGGATATAGGCATAGGACTGGCTTTGAATAAAGGAGTGTGTGGTAGGCTGAGTAGTGGCCCCCCAGTGTGTCCATATTCTAATCTTCGGGTCTTGTCAATACGCTATCTTATGTGCAAAGGGACTTCGCAGGTGTGATTAAGTTAAGGATCTCAAGAAGGGGAGAGTGTCCTGGATTGCTTAGGTGGGCCCTAACTGTAACCACAGGTGTCCTCAGAAAAGAGAGGTCTGACTCCAGAAGAGGAGAAGGCAATACGGGACAGAAGCAGAGATAGGAGTGACGTGCTTTGAGGATGGAGGAGGAAACCGCTGCCAAAACATGCAGCAGCTTCTTGAAGCTGAAAGAGGCATGGAAATAGATTCTCCCCTCGGAGATTCCAGAAGCAAGCCGCCTGCTGACAGCTTGGCTTTAGCCCAGTGAAAGTAAGTTCAGACTTCTGGCCTCCCAAACTGTAAGAGAATGAATGGGTTGCTACAAGCCACTCGGTTTGTGTTAATCTGTTAGAGCAGCAACAGGAGAAGAACACAGAAGGAACACCTTCTCTGAGAGCTTACAAATGGGCCTTTCTCTAACACATTCAGCTGGAGAGTCCAATTTGGGTATGGTAATGTTCAAATGTTAACCAACTTGCATGTATTAAGAATTCTTTGTATTATCAATCTTAAGCTAAATGAATTTAAATTGAAAACTACTTTGCTTTAACTCAAATGCATCGAGGGGAATCATAGACATGCATGTAAAATCAAGTGACACATATAATCTAATTATGTTTAAGCAACAAAGTGGAAAGGGTATTTCAATTGGCATAATGGTGACTTTGACAGCAAGCTATAGTAATTTTTTAAAGACGTTATTTATTTATTTATTTATTTATTTATTTATTTAACACAGAGAGATGGAGAGGATGAGAGAAAGCACAAGCAGGGGAAGCTGCAGGCAGAGGGAGAAGCAGACTCCCTGGGGAGCTGACACAGGACTTGATACCAGGACCCCGGGATCATGACCTGAGCCAAAGGCAGATGCTTAAGTGACTGAGCCACCCATGACCGCCCCCCCCCTTTTTTTAGTCATCTCTACAGGCTCAAACTTATGACCCTGAGGTCAAATGTTGCAAGCTCCACCCACTCAGTAAGCTAGACACCCTGAGCTGTAGTAATTTCAATTTCAGCCGCCTGCTTTTTTTCTCAGAACTTCCCCCATTCCACTCTGATGCCTGAGGTCACCTTTGTAGAGCAGTGACATCTCCAGGTATCTACCTAGCAGCTGCCTCTGGGGCATCACCAACCCTGCTTCTCTTATCTGTCTGGCTGTCGAGGCCTCACTACACACATCAATGTTGCCTTGCTTTCTGGGCTGGCTACCTCTTAGTGCTGGTGCTGTATGGGACTCTACAGCCATGGAACCCCAGAATTTGTGAACAAAACAACAACAGCATAGAATCCTCCAGAAAATAAAATATAGATATATAATACATATATTTATATATAAATAAAATATAATAAATATATTTGTATATTTATAAATAAAAATTTAAAATAAAATTTATAGATAAATTTTATAAATATAAAATAATTTATATATTTATATAAACATAAATAAATTTATAAATTTATAAATAAATAAAATATATTTATATATAAATAAAATATAAATATAAATATAATTGGGTAATTGACTAAAAAAGAAGTCTAGAGCCACTAAAACATTAATGAAATAACACAGGCACTACTTACGCAGGTGGGCTATCGCCACAATATTTTCCAATTCTTTTAGCGTCATTGATTTCTCCACCGTTGAACACAGCCACAAAATCATACCGGCAATAGTTGTCACGCTCAACATCAAACTTCTCAAATTTTAATTCTATAAGCTTTAGAGAAAGCACAACATTAGAAATATCAAGATAGCACTGAGGAATAATCTCAAATGGGAATCTTCCTCTCCCCAGATCTGCAAGATTTTCCTTGGTAAAGAATGTATTCATTCTGTTTGAATTATTTGTTTCTTATTATTTTCATATTTCTTCTCTAATTAACAAAACTGTGGTATTTTTTATTTTAATAATTCCAAAAGATCAATCTTAGTTAAGATCTTAAACTTGAGAGATCTGTTCACCTACAGTTACAAATGAATGGGAACACCATGTAACCCTAACAACCTATGTTAAGAACATAACTGGATACGTGTTGGAGTGGGAAGCAGAGGTATATACCAATTTCATTCTTCTCCTCTGACATGTCCCCTATGTTAGAGTGTGTTGAGGTGTGGTGTATGTGTTACGTATTTGGGTAGGTGAGATGCTGGACAGAGTTGCTCCTCTTTCAAGGGAAGGAGAATGATATTCCTATTATATGTAAGAAGATAAATTCTTTAGGACCAGAGATTCAGGAAGTAGAGATTGACTGAGTCTTCCTGAAGTTTGTTTGAAACGTGTGCCTACTGAGTTGAGCACAGCCTATTTGGTGATGTGGTTGATTTTTGAAGAGGCTGCTTGAGAGCACTGATAAACAAAGTCAGTGTTAGATTTCTTAAGTATTAGTTTTTTGTACTAGTACCAATAATAGTATCCTTAAGTTATTCAAGTCAATAGGAAGTTTTGTTTTAATAGGCAATGTTCCCCTCACAAGCAGATTTCCAGGCACCTCCAATTTGTGAATCAAAGGAAATCTCACTGGGTTCATCAATTCCCAAGGTACCCAGATAGCTGGTTCTACGCAAGTGGGCAGGCAACCCTCCCTGCTGCTTAGAGAAGATAATGGGCATTAATTTCTGTTAGGACAGGCCGTAGTTATTAGCTAAAGGAGACTCACACACAATAACTGGATGAAGATGGTAACAGCAACAGCACCACAGAGGGACCAGTGGTAAATTTTGGCTTTGAACATAATCGTCACATATCTACATACTTACCCACCTTTAAAAAGTCAGCACCAGTTATGGCTGAATAACAGCTTATTCATATTTAGCACTGTTTTAAATTATATTAAAATATTTCCTCTTTGGGTCCAATAATTTCTCACCGGTTAGTAATAAAATGTTTTCCAGATTATTAAAAATTGCCTGAATTTTCTCTACTTAGAAATTAGTCACATAATAACTTTTGGAGAAAGGATTAAAAATAAGTAAATAAAAAGGAGAATAAAGGGGAAAGCTATGATTAAAAAAATGAAAATAAGTCTTTAACTTATGCTCATAGGTTTGCACAGAAAGTACTTAGGACTTAATCCTCCCATTATATTCTTCTTTGACAGTGCTTCCATGATTTCAGGCATTGCAATAGTCATTAAAAATTACTTGGCTGGGGGCGCCTGGGTGGCTCACTGGGTTAAAGCCTCTGCCTTCAGCTCAGGTCATTATCCCAGGGTCCTGGGATCGACCCGCATCGGGCTCTCTGCTTGGCAGGGAGCCTGCTTCCTCCTCTCTCTCTGCCTGCCTCTCTGCCTACTTGTGATCTCTGTCTGTCAAATAAAATCTTAAAAAAAAAAAAAAAAAACTTGGCTGAAGCCAAAAATCACATTAGTAAAATGAAAGCCAAATTTAAGTTTAAATAATCAAAGAGATGAACAATGGAAAAAAGATGCTGAATTGTAATCTGCAAGGATAACTAGGCTGAAATTATTTAGGCTAATTAATACATTTCCAAATGTCACAGAGAGAAAAATGACCAGCACAATCTCAAGAATTACATAATGGAGGGGCACCTGGGTGGCTCAGTGGATTAAGCCTCTGCCTTTGGCTCAGGTCATGATCTCGGGGTCCTGTGATCAAGCCCCATGTTGGGCTCCTGCCCCATGTTGGGCTCCTGCTCAGCAGAAGCCTGCTTCTCCCTTTCCCAGTCCCTCTGTTTGTGTTTCCTCTCTAGCTGTCTCTGTCAAATAAATAAAACCTTAAAAAAAAAAAAAGAATTACATAATAGCTTAAATATCAAGAAATGTGATTTTTAAGTGTTAAACTATTAAAAAGTTCAATAAATTTGTAGAATCTTTCATCATTAAGTAAATGACCATATTTTTATTCTTGAAAATAAAACTGGGTTTGGAGATTATGATCAAAGTGTGTGTGTGTGTGTGTGTGTGTGTGTGTGTGTGTGTGTGTATGAGAGAAAGAGAGAGAGAGTTCAAATCACTAACTTGCATGGTATATTTGCCTGAATAATTTTCCATTAAAAAATCAATATATGACAAATAGTATTTGTGTAAGTCATACAAAAGATCAGCTTAGAAAATTTTTTAAAGACTTATTTATTTGTTTTAGAGAGAGAGAAAGAGCATGTGTGCACACACGAGTGGAAGGGCAGAAGGAGAAAATTCCCTGCTGAGTAGGAAGTCTGAGGCCTCCATCACAGGAACCTGAGATCATGACCTGAACCAGAATCAAGAGTGGATTGCTGAACCAACTGAGCCACTCAGGTGTCTAGAAAAGTTTTTTTTAGACAGTATCATAACACTCACCCTCTAGTGTTTGAGTAAAGTCTGTAGTGTTTATAACAATAATTTTTTAAAAGTTATTTTCCCAAGTCCACAAAGTAGACTTGGTCTATTCCCATGCTAAGTTTTGTCCTGCAATTCATATCTGAAAGTGGTTCCCAGAAATGGTAAAATTTCATATAACCACAAACTAATAAGCACTGGAAAACCAGACCTTCTCTGTTGGTTGTTTTACAGCAATGAATGAAGTTATTTGTGGGGGACCTCAATAAATTTTATATTAAACAACAACCAAAAAAAAAAATACCCGCAAGGCAGATTAGCCTTCAGACTCATTCTCTGAGGGGAAAATGTGGTGTGCCTGCCTCGGCTCTGTCCAGGTGAAGGCATCACAGTTTATCTGCCACGTGAACAAATGGTGACCTGAAACCTACATATACTTGGGGATTCCAGTCCTCCCATACTCAGTCACTGCTGTTTATAACACCTTCCCCCAGGGTTCAGAAATCTCACAGGGATTTGCTTACTATTTGTATTGAAATTTGAAAATCATATTTATATACTAGGAAATTAAATGCACAACTTTTGTAAGTCAAATAGTGCAAAAGCAATTTTAATCTGGGTCTTTGTATGAAAAGATACCTGCGTCCAGCAGGGCCTTCCTCACCCTGCATGCTAAGCTCTTGAGAGATGGGCCCCTTGCATCATCTAAGCAATTCACACATGCACGCTTTCTTCATGTTTTTAGGGAATCTTACCTGATTCTTTGGGGCTACAATGTGCCACACACAAGTGACTCCTGCAGGGTAATCTCGGTCTGGCCAGTTGGGGGTTTTAAAAGAGCCAGAAGGTCTTTCAAGGCGTCCTCCACAATACCGATCCCCTGAATTTTTAAAGTATGAAAAAAAAAAATCCAGGTTATGGCAATGCAACTGTAAGAAGACTGGGATTTAGAATATTGGTAATAATACAGTGAATAAAGCCAATGGCAGAAGCTCTTCAATTTTTTCCTAAAACATGGTTACACAGCCTTCTCCTCCCCACACCCCACCCCCACCAGCCACACACTGAATGATCTCTGTTACCTGACCTATCACATGAGCACAAGAGAACACAGGAGTGGAGTCAGGCCTATAACTTCTTTTCTTTCTGTTTTTTTGGGCAAGTGAAGACAAGACATTTGGGCATGAAACATTCAGGAATCATGCTGGCTCAACAAATCATAAAGACTTTAAAGAACCTTCATGACAGAGGTGTTTATTAATAGGATTAAAATGCATGCCCACGGACAAAATTTGAATATGTTGGCAGAGAATACTCTCATTACCAGAAAACTCTATATGCTACGCATCTTTAATAATTTTAAGAACAGATTTTGTTTGTAAAAAGTGTTTATAAATTTTCAGCAATACAAAAGAGCATCAAAGAAAATTACCCCAAATCCAACCACCTAAAACTAACCACAATTAATATTTTAGAAACATCATTTCAGACATCTCCATGCATATATACTGATAGGTCAACAGGAAAAATTTCAGGACAATATATATATATTTTTAAAATTTTATTTATTTGACAGAGAGAGGGAGATAGTGAGAGCAGGAACAGAAGCAGGGGGAGTAGGAGAGGGATAGCAGGCTTCCCGTAGAGCAGAGAGCCTGATGTGGGGCTAGATTCCAGGACCCTGAGATCATGACCTGAGCCGAAGGCAGAGGCTTAATGACTGAGCCACCCAGGTGCCCCAAAACAGTATTTTAATACAAAGTTCTAAATTTAATTTTATTTGAATTAAACTAACAAAAACTGAACTGAAACTAAGAGAACTTAATATACTTTATATTATTTCTTTGACACAGAAGATAATCATTCTTAAAAGCCATCTCTAAGAAAATGCACTATAACAATTGAGGCTGGATAATTTCTAAAACTTTTTATCATGGAAAATTTCAGGCAGATACAAAGTAAATAGAATAATATAATGAGCTTCTATGTATCCGTCACCCAATTTCAACAATTAATTATCATTCTACTGTTCTTTTTATTAATACCATTATCCAATCCCCACCACCTGCTTTATTATTAGAGATTTCAGGGAGGTAATTTCATGTACTGTGAAATGCACAAATATTAGCTGTACTAATTTGAAAAATCAATCTCCTTGTGTTAGCCACACTCCTGTGACCATACAGAATCCATTTCCCACCAAATTCCTGTATTCCTTCCCAGTCGGCCAACTCGTCACACTGCTTTTCTGAAAAATTTTACCTTAGATTAGTTTTATTCTAGTGCTTCCCAAACATGGACTCATGTACTGTGGACTCTTCTGCATCTGGCTTCCCCTGCACGGCGTCTGAGATGCATTCATGTTGCCGTTTGTATTCATAGTTTGTTGTTTTACTCTGCCGGGTGATTGCGGGTGTGGAAACACAATTTGTCTCCCTCTTCTTCTGCTGGACATTCCTTTGGGTGTTTCCAGTTCAGGCTATTGTGAGTAAAGCTGCTGTGAACTGTTTTGTACATATCTCTTTGTGGACATGCATTTTCATTTTTCTTGCACAAGTACCCAGGAAAGCAATTCCTGGGCCAAGAACAGCTGTCAATGTTTAATTTCAGAAGAAACACGAATGATTTCCCCTTGAGGCTGCAGCATTTTGTACGTCTCCAGGTACGAGCACTTTGGTCGTACTTTGACGATGTCAGTTATTTTTGCCAATCTGGTGGGTTTGTAACGGTTCCTCAGGGTGGTTTTAAAAATTTTATTTTTATTTATTTGACAGAGAGAGAGATCACAAGTAGGCAGAGAGGCAAGCAGTGATGGGGAAGCAGGCTCCCTGCTGAGCAGAGAGCTCGATGTGGGGCTTGATGTGGGGCTCGATGCGGAGCTCGATCCCAGGACCCTGAGATCATGACCTGAGTTGAAGGCAGATGCTTAATGACTGAGCCACCCAGGCATCCCAGTAGTTTTTTATATTTACCATTTCCAGTGGCTGTCAATCCTATTACCTTTGTGTTACCCTGTGGGACCATTTCCCTTCAACTTGAGGAACTTCCTTCAATATTTATTGGGATGCAAGAAATGTCCTTAATCCACTTTCATTTCTAAAGACCAGGTATATAATTCTAGGCTGATAGTTTTACTCCAGCTACTTTAAGAATGCTGCTCTACTGCCTTCTGGCCTCTACTGTTTCTAATGAAAAGAAAGCCATCCTTCACACCATCTTTCCCTTGTATGTGATTTGATTTCCATATCACTAATTTTAAAACTTTCTCTTTATATTTAAAGTTCTGCAATTTTGATGTTCCTCAGTGTGGCTTTTTAAAAATTTATCCTGTTTGGGGTGTGTTGATCTTCTTGGCTCTATAAAATTAACGTTCTTCAATGAATGTGGGTGGCTTCAAGCCATTATTTCTTCAGACATTTTTCCTGTCCTACTTGACATTGCCTCACGCTCTTGGGCTCTTTTTCTTTAATCTTTTTCCTCCTGGTTCTTCAGATTGGATCATTTCTATGTAGATCCATTGGCTCTTCTGCCATCTCCAATCTGCTTGAAAGCCCACCAGGTAAATTTTTAAATTTCAGATTCTGTCTCTTTCAGTTCTAGAATTGCTCTTTTATTCCTTTTTTTTTTTGTTTTGTTTATAGTTTCATAGTTCTGTTTCTCTTCTGAAATTCTCAATCTGTTTACTTACTACACATCTGTTTCCCTTGAAGTCCTTACGCATAGTTACAATAGTTCCTTTAAGTGCTTGTCTGCTAACTGCCACATCTGAGTTATCCTGGGACTGGTTTTTTTTTTTTTTAAGATTTTATTTATTTATTTGACACAGAGAGATCACAAGTTGGCAGAGAGGCAGGCAGAGAGAGAGAGAGGGAAGCAGGCTCCCCGCTGAGCAGAGAGCCTGATGCGGGGCTCGATCCCAGGACTATGGGATCATGACCCGAGCCGAAGGCAGCGGCTTAACCCACTGAGCCACCCAGGTGCCCCCTGGGACTGGTTTTTACTGACTGCTTTTCCTCTTGAATATAGACACACTTTTCTGGTTTTACCACATAGATACTGGATATTATGAGTGATACCTTACAGAGACTCTAGATTCTGTTGTGTTCGTGTGAAAAAGGATTTGGGTTCCAGCAGGCATTTCACTTGCCTAGACTCAAGCTCACGGTGGGTCTTCCTGGCCGCGCAGCAGCTGTAATCTCTGTTCACTTTCACCTTTCAGCTGATGCTTTTGTGACGGGTCAGCTGGACTCCCCTCTGTATACACAGAGTTTGGCTGTCACCCAAAGAGAGATCTCGGTGGATTTTACATGTACGTTCTGTGCCTCAGTTCCTCTGTAGCTCCCAGCCAGCATTTCCTCCCAAACATTCTGGCTGCTCTTGTCAGCCCCAGAGCCTGTTCCCTGACATCTCCAACCGAAATGCAGCGCAACAACCTAAAGCAAGAGCAGACTAGGAAATGCCCTCCGGGAAAAGGCTGCATATTTAACAGATCTTGCCCAAACTTATCTCTTCAGGGTAGACGTTTCTACCCATCGGTGCTCATATGTACTGACATGAAAACACCCAATATGTAGTTCTTAAGTGAAAAAAAAAATTGTGAAATAATATGAATGTATGATCCCACTTAGATTTTTAAAAAGCTACTGCAGAATTGTACCTAGAAAGGGATGGCAATCACCGACCACGTCTCTTTCCAAGATGGGACTATAATGGAGTGAAGGGATATGTTTTGATATCTGTATGTGTGTATGTGTATGTAAGCTTCATATTTTTACTCCAGGAATTTCTATATTTGAATTTTGATAAGAATCACATGGGCTTTAAAAAAAGAGACTTTTTTGAAAAAAATAATAAAAATAAACAAAATAAAATAATAAATAATAAGTATTATAATAAATGCTATATATTAAATATAAATAATAATAAATAATATACAATTATAATAAATAAATAAAATTTAAAAAGAGACTTTTTTGAATGGTCTCTTGGTGGTTCAACAGCATTTATTAGCTCTGCCTGAGAAGAACTGCTCTTCAACTTTAGGCTAAAGGAGTAAACACGTACAAAGAGCCTGGGACAGAGGCTCAGCCAGGGACAGGAGGCACCCACTAACCCGTAAGCCATTATTACCACCGTGATTGCTATTATGTGGAAACACTACCTCTTTCGTTTGGTTCAGCAGCAGAGAACATGGCCATGAAGCCATTCCCAGCCGTGTTGGCATCGGAAATCATCTGCACCATCATCTTGTTACCGCTGGACACAAGGGCTCCAGGCCGGAACGTGCCACAGAAGCGCCCGATACGCTGGCCATTGGTGTGACCATTGTACACGTCTACAAAGTCATAGCGGCACAGGTTGTCGCTCTCCAGATCTATGAATCGGAAATTAAGAACTACCACTTTTCCTTCAGGAACCTGGAGAGAAATTACCAATTGGAAAACCATGTTATGAAAACAGTATCTGAAGTCTTCCCATCTAGCCTGAAGTGAGCAGATTAAAATATAATATACCCAAGACAATGTTTTTCTTCCCACAAATCTGAACTAACCCAGAAAAGGTTTTCTACCATAATGAATTCCTAATAAAATATAAGTATTTATTGTCTTTGGACAAATGCTACAATTCATGAGGGAACACAATCTTATTCCTAGAGAGTTTATCTCAACAAAGTTGCAAAATGTTGGGTTAGTCTTAAAATTTGTAAGTCACTGCTTACAAAGAATACCAGTTCTGACTGGACCTTAGCAACCCCATTTGCAAATTGTAAAACACCATGGCACCCAGAGATATTGCTTGGCAAAGAAATATTTGAAATAGCATTCTTCACAAATAATACAACAGGATAATCTCAATATGTAGAATACGTCTATCAAGTTTGGATTGTTTGGCAATTGTGCAGTTAATTTACAGATACTTCAGTTTGGGTCCTGAAAAATCCAGATCAACTCTTTATCCTGATGACGCTGAGTAATTACCGAATCATCTCTTCTCAGAATCACTGAGTTTTTGTTTTCCGCATGGAAACTTTATATACCAGGTATCCTTGAAACACAATGCACTGATGAAAAAGTTGAGTTTTCACTTTCTTATACAACTTTCTTCACCTAATTTCCTCCATAGAATTCTTATGATGCTTCCCTCCTTGTTCCCTGAACAGGCAGAAAAAATGGCTACAAAAGCATTCGGCAGGATTCTAACAAAAGCCCCATTTCTTTTCCAGTGCACACTATCTTTTAATTTACTCATCCAAGCATTTGATCATAAAGTCTCACAACCAGATGCATTTTATCTTTTCAACTCGACGAGCTCTCCACTGTATGATGTAAGAATTTCATTTTACAGATGACAAAAAGTCAGTGATTTGAAAGACAAACCCACTACAGCCAACGGTAGTTGGTTTATATTCATCTTAAGTAATTATCTCCTATTCAAGGGTCAATAGATGCTTTAACATAAACATGGCTTCCTATGCTGGTGAGTTCAGTGCCATAGTTTGTTGTTGTTTTTTTCCCCTGTGATAAGAAGCAGTGTTTCAGTACTATTTGCCTTTGGTGTCAAAGACATATACACCCTATGGCAAAAACCGTAGTGCAGGAGTCTCAAAAGGATATTTTGGCTTTGTCATGGCTGTATTCTAATTGCTAGGAGCTTATCTTAATAGTGTATTAGAAGTTCCAAAGCCACAGTCTATGAAGCTGATAGCAGAAAATGCATTTTAACTTTTAAACATTCTCACTGCGATAGTTCTTGGAGAACTCCCCTGGGTTTTTTTGTTGTATTTATTTTTTTGCATGCAATCTCTAGTTAGCCTATGATCAGAAAATTACAAAAATGTGACACCACATCTGTAATCGTAAATATAAGCTATCAATCACTGAAAAGTTTCCAGCTCAAAAAAAACCCAAAACTGTTCTGAGCTACATTAATTTAACGTTGGTTGTCCCTGCATGAAGAGTGACCGTGTAAATGTGTAGATAAACTGTATGGAGGGTAATTCAAAGCTCTGAGACTCTTCCATGTACAGAGTGAGTAAAAAAGGGAAGAGGTGTAAGGATTGACCCCTGGGGGACTCTGATGCCATCAGGTCTTCCAGATACGGTCAAACTGAGTTAGGAAGTAGGACGCAATCAGAAGTCTGTGGTGCCCAGAAGCCAAGTGAAAAGAGTGCGTTCAAGGAGGAAGTAGTCTGCTGAGTTAGGAGTGGCTGCTGAGTCAAGGAAGATGACTGCAAGATGGCCACTGGGTTTATCAACCAGAAGTCTCTGGTTGGTGGAGCAGTAGGGATAAAGCCTGGTAAGAGAAGGATCAAGAGAAAATGGGTGAGAGGAATAGGGACAAAGTTTTCAAGGAGCTTTGCTGGAAAGATGAACAGAGTAATAGGTGGGTAGCTGGAAGAGGGGGTGGGGGTCAAGGCAGGATAGTTAAAATGGGCTCTATTAAGACTCATTTGCATGCCAATGGGAATAATTCCACAGAGAGGGCAAAACTGATAAAGTAGGAAAGAGATAGAGTTGCTGGAGAAATGGCATTGGGTAGGCAAGGGAAAATTTGCTCTAAGGCACAGATGTGGGGGGAGGGTCAGCCTTCCAAAGGAGCATGGACTGTTGTGCCTAGAGAGAGGAGGGAAGGCACCTGCAGGTGGGGTTGTAGGTGAGGCTGTGAGAGCAGATGAAATTTTTCTTCTGTGAAATAGGAAACAAGGTCATCAGCAGCAAACATGGATGTGAGAGGAGCTATCAGGAGCCTGGGAGCAGAGGAGAGGTGTGTAAATGGATTAAGGAAGTGTAGCAGGAGTGTCAGGAGTGCTGAGAGCTCACTTGAGGCAAATAAACCAAAAGTGAGGCCTCTTTGCATGGTCGTGGTTTCCCCCCAGCCACACACAGTCCCTGGGTGAAGATGCAGAGCAGGTGGAGGGCTGGACTTAAGCAGCAGAGCATGGGAGGTTGGTGGAGTGGGTAAGTTTGCCAAGCAAGGACTATGGAGGGAGGGAGAGCCAAGAGAGTTGAGAACATAGGCAGGGGAATGACCATAATGATGGGCCATGGCATCTAAGCTGGGGAAGGACAGAAACCTTGAATCAGTGGGGTGAGGGCAGTAACAACCTAGGTTGTGGTGGAGACAGGACAATGCAATGGAAGTGGGTGGCCGAGGAACAATGGAGGATAAGCTTATGGAGGATGGGAGCTGCAAGACCCAACAGGATCCCCCATGTAGGCACCCAAATTACTATGAATTATGACAAGGAAGAGTGTTGAAGACAGTGGCAGCGAGCCAGGGGCTAAAATTTTTAAGAAATGAGGAAAACTGCCCTGGGGATTTTCTACAACAAGATGAGCAAAGAGGGGAAGAGGAGGGCAGAGTCTTGTTTCACTTGCAAGTTCTCAGTTCTTTGGCGCTAAGAAAGCTCTGCTGATTCCTTTCTGAGGTCAAGCTGGATACTCATTTCCAACGGGATAAAGCAGCACTTGTTCAGCAATAGAAACGAGATTACGTCACTGAAATTTTGAACACCTGCTGATCCCAACAACATCCCCTGGCAAAAACCCTTTTGAAGGAAGGACGCAGAAATCGGTCGGTATCAGTTGTGGGTCTACTGTAACCAGAAACAAACGCCATTTTGCACCAAAGGCCAAGGGCAATCTGTTGCAGGTGAGATGCATACTTCAGGGAACCCTTTCACGACCACACAACAGCTGTTCTTCATTTTAATGTGAGTAATCAAGATTGTCTGGAGCCCTCCCATGTGAACTTTGCTTAGAGCTCCTAGAGGGTCATTCTAAAGGACTTTGTAAAGCATATTCTTCAAAGGTGACCTCTCCACTTGAAGAATCTACAGTCTATACTCTTGATTTTCCTTTGTTAAGGATATTAAAAGAACAAATGTATATATATAATATATATATGATAGAGTAATATAACAAACACCTAGGTACCAGCCATCCAGAACTAATTATTGTTAACATTTTGGCAACACATTTTTTTTTTTTTTTTTTTTTAGAGAGAGAGACAGTGAGAGAGAGCATGAGCGAGGAGAAGGTCAGAGGGAGAAGCAGACTCCCCGTGGAGCTGGGAGCCCGATGCGGGACTCGATCCCAGGACTCCAGGATCATGACCTGAGCTGAAGGCAGTCGCCCAACCAACTGAGCCACCCAGGCACCCTTGGCAACACATTTTTAATGTCTCTTTTAATAAAATAAATACAAGTTTTCAGATAAAATGAGGTTTATCATCCCCATCCCAGGACCCATTTCCCCCTCCTTTCTCAGAAGGGACCACTGTCATAAATTCAGTGGGTTTCCTTCTGTGCCATTCAAAATACTTTTGTATAAATATGTCTGTATTCATGCCAAATACATGGTTGTGTTTTTGTGTCTGTATTAAAAATTAATGAAGATGGGATAATGCTCTACATATTCTGCAGCCTGGGCATCCTTGAGTTTTCTGGGTGAGGAAGAAGAGAAGGGGGAGAAATAAAAATAAAAACAAAACCGCACAGGGGATACCTGGGTGGCTCAGTTGGTTAAGTGGCCAACTCTTGATTTCGGCTCAGGTCATGATCTCGGGATCCTGAGACTGAGCCCAGGTTCCACGCTCAGTGTGGAGTCTGTTTAAGACTTCTCTCCCTCTCCCTCTGCCCCTCCCCCTGCTTGTGCCTCTCCCTGTGCCCCTGCCCCTCTCTCTCCCCAAAATAAATAAATAAATCTTAAAAAACAAAAACTCATAGGCCCTTCACAAGCTATTCCTTCTGTCTAGAATACTTTCCCACTTCTGCCCTTCTTTCACTGATGTTGAGGGTCTCAGTTTCAAGGTCACCTCTTCTTGGAGGCACTCCCAGACCCCAGCTCCTCCTCCCACGATGGGCTCTGCCCAGTGAGCTACCTGCCCCTTGTCCCTGAGCATGAGGTCACTCAACCCACCTACTCCCTCACTGTCTATTCTCCCTGAAAGATGGAGCTCTAAGAGGCAAGTCTCCCTCCTGCCTTGGTCACTGCTGCATCCCAGCTTCTGGACAGCGTATGCCCCCAAGCAGAGGGGTCTCATGAAGACGTGTTAAGTGAATGAATCTGCCAGGTGCTCAAAGGAACACCAGCTTCTTTGCACAAACCCTGAACAAGGCACCTACTAGGCAGCCCCACCTCTTGTGTCCTAGTATCTCCTACCCCCAGGAGCAGCAGAGTTCCAGAAGGCTGCTCTCCTTTCTAGGTCATTCTTTACAAACAAAAGAAGATGCAGATCTTTTGGGAAACCTTATATTTCAAATCTGCTGGGATGCTAATACTTAATGCAGAAACTCCATTAAGATGCTTTTTTTGGTGGCAATGGAGAAAAAGCTGCTGTTTTGTGAGATTATATAGACCAGGGGATTCATTATCTGCCTGTAGAAAAACAATTCTATATTCATGCTTTTCCCTGT